AGAACAGTACAGCACAGTACAGGCCCTTCGGCCCATGATGTTGTGCTGATATTTTACCCTAATCTTAAGGTCTATCTAACCTTCACCCCTACCTTATACTTCATCCATATGCCTATCTAATTGCCGCTTAAATGCCCCTAAGAGGCCGACTCCACTACCCTCTCCGGCAATGCATTCCACGCCCCGACCACTCTCTGAGTAAAGAACCTACCTCTGACGTCTCCCCTATATCTACCTCCACTCACTTTAACTATGTCCCCTAGTAATAGCTACCTCCACCCTAAGAAAAAGTCTCTGGCTGTCCACTCTATCTGTACTCTGATTAGGCTGAGGAGTTTGTCTATTTCATAATACCATTGCTATAAACATCAATTTTCCACATTCACTGCGGATGCCTTTCTTAGAAATAAAGCTGCCAGCTTTGGGAGGGTCACGTACACTGAAACTGTGCCTGAATGGGCATTGCCCATTATGTCTGTTCAGATCATGCAAAGGGCAAATTTCTAACGAAAGGATCCTGGCAATATACACGTTACAATGTGATTCAGCTGCATCATTGTCTGATGCTACTTTATGTGAAACAATCTTCGAAAAGCTGCTTTTACCATGACAAAAACTATCCTGTCAATTATTTTGAATACATAAGTTAATTTTTAAAATGGATTGCCTGCCCTGTAGAAAAGTCAAGACTTTCCGACGATGAATACCGAATCACTGTGTGTACTCAAAATGACTCCCTTACACCCATCAGATCCATGACTACTCATTCTTAAGAGCTTTAACATTGCTTTAAAAGTCAAAAGAAGGTTTATATTTATTTCACAGAATTTAAACACATTTTGAGTGGGCATTATGGTCAGCACAGAACAGTCTGGGCTGAAGGGCCTGTTTCCATGCTGTATTACTCAATGACTCTATGACATGCATCACACAAGACTCCTCCAAGCTCTCATCATTGCAATGTAACAAGAATGGACATGATCATGAGATGTATGAAGAGAAACTTGATTGATTGGGATTATGTTCACTGGAGTTTAGAAGAATGAGGGGTGGTCTTGATCATGAGATGGTCGTGTATATCATGATTTTACAGTGACAACAGTATTCATCTTTGAAATGCTGTGAAAGACCATGATGCATAAGAACAAAAATAGATCATTCAGCCCATTGAATCTGCTCGGTTTTACATCAAGATCACGGCTGATCTGATAATCTTCAACTCCACTTGCCCTGTAAATTTTGATTCTCTCACTGAAAATCTATCTTTGGTGCAACTATAATTAAAGACACTGCCTTGATAGCCCTCTGAGTCAATGATGGGCTATCTTTTGAGGGAAATACATTTCTCATCATCTCTGTCTTAACCTCTTGCTCTGAGATCAGGCCCTTAGATCCTGGATTCTTCTACATGGGGAAACAACCTCTCAGCATCTACTCTGTCAAATCCACAGAATCTTGTATGTTTCATTAAGGTCACTTCTTCAAAACTCCAATGAGTACAGGCCCAGCCTATACAACCTGTCCTTACAGGAAAATTGTCCATACCCAGGACCAGCTTAGTGATTCGGAACCCTGCTCCCACTTTCTCCCTGGGCTCTTTGATTCTTTGAGCCCTAAGAGCTATATCCAACTCCTTTTTGAAAATGTTCAGTGTGTTGGCTTTCTTTCACTTTTGTCGCAGAGAATTTCACAGGCTCACCACTATAGACTTATAACATTGTCCTCATCTGAGTCCTAAGTAGCCTGACCCATTACATTTGATGTAAAACCCTGTTCTAGACTCCTGAGTCCTTGACAGCATCCTTTCTGTGTTTCCATTGTTTCCTGTTAGAATTTTATAGCTATGAGATTCCCCTCCCAGCCTTCTAAACTCCAGTTAAAATAATCCTAACCGATCCAGTCTCTCTTCCTACCTCAGTCTTGCCACCCCAAGAATCAGCCTGGTAAACCTTTGTTGCACTACCCTTACAGGGGAAAAAAAAAATCCTTTCTCAAAAAAGGAGACCAAAATTGCCCATAATACTGCAGGTGTGGACTGACCAAGGCTTTGTACAATTACAGCAAGACATCTCTGCGTCTGTACTCAAATTCGCTTGCTCTGAAGGCCAACATATCATTTGCTTTCTTCATTGCCTGCTGTAGTCGCATGCTTACTCTCAGCGACAGGTGTACAAGGACACCCAGGTCTTTGCTTCACCTCCCCCTTTCCTCATTATTGCCATTCATGTAATAATCTATCTTTTCATTTTACACCAAATTGGATAACCTCATATTGATCCACTTTATACATCTGCCATACATTTGGCCCTCACTCAACTTCTCCAAATCACACTGAAATGTCTCTGCATCCTCCTCACAGTTCAACCTCCGAGCTGTGTTATTTGCAAACTTGTAGATATTACATTCAGTTCCCTCATGTAAATCATTAATATATGTTGTGAATAGCTGGGGTCCAGCACTGATCCCTAGAGTACCCAAAGACCACTGCCTGCCACTTGGTGAAAGACCTTTTTATTGCTACTCTTTGTTTCCTGTCTACCAACAAGTTCTGTATCCAAAGACAAGTATTCTGATGAAGGGTCAATGAACTTGAAACATTAACTCTGCCTTTCTCTCCATAGATGCTGCCAAACTTGCAGCAACTTTCTGTCTTTATTTCAGATCTCCAGCATTTGCAGTTCTTTTTTTATTTCAGTTCTCTACCCATGCCAATATATTATCCACAACTCCATGTGCTTTAACTTTATGTGCTAATCTTTACAGTCATAGAGTCCCTACAGTGTGGAAACAGGCCATTCGGCCCAACAGGTCCACACCACCCCTCCAAAGAGCATCCCATCCAGACCCATTCCCCTACCCCTACATTTGCCATGTCTAACCACCTAACCTGCACATCCCTGAACACTATGGGCAATTTAGCATGGCCAATCCACCTAACCTGCACATCTTTGGACTGTGGGAGGAAACCAGAGCACCCTGAGGAAACCCACTCTGACACAGGGAGAATGTGCAAACTCCACACAGAGAGTGGAATCAAACCTGGGTGTCTGGGGTTGTGAGGCTGCAGTGCTAACCACTGAGCCACCGTGTCACCTTAATTTCTTATGTGGGACCTTATTGAAAGGCTTCTGAAAGTTCAAATAAATCGCAGGCACTGGCTGCCCTTATCAACTCTATGAATCTTTGCCACAGTGTATATTTTTTCTTTCAATTTGATACCATCCCTAACTTCCTTGGTTAAACACAATCGATTTATCTTCTTCCTAAAATCTGTCCAGGAAGTGGTGGCAGTGTACAGATTTACCTTTGGTAATCTTATGTATATTTAAAGCTGAGATAGATAGATTCTTGTTCTGTCGAGGGAATTAAGGATAATGGGGAAAAGGCAGGAAAGTGGATGTGAGGAGTATTGGATTGGATGGCAGAGCAGACTCAAGGGGCTGAATGGCCTACACCTGTTCCCATTTTGGATGTTCTTATAATCTAGAATTCCAACCTACTGTTCTGCAGGCTTGGAATGAAATCCCACTATGTTAGCTGCTGGAATTTGTATTCAATCAAAATCTTTTTAACCCAACACATTACGGCAGCAATCAGAGAGCAGGTTATAATAAGAGACAGTAGGAACTGCAGATGCTGGAGAATCTGAGGTAACAAGGTGTAGAGCTGGATGAACACAGCAGGCCAAGCGGCATCAGAGGAGCAGGAAGGTTGACGTTTTGGGCCTAGTCCCTTCTTCAGAAAATGACCCTTCTGAAGAAGGGTCTAGGCCTGAAACGTCAGCCTTCCTGCACCTCTGATGCTGCTTGGCCTGCTGTGTTCATCCAGCTCTACACCTTGTTATAACAGGTTATACTAAACCTAGTTTGACCAATGAGTTAGAATTAATTACTAACGTTGTAGCGAAATCACCCCTTAGTTCTGAGGAAGGGTCAGTTGACTCGAAACGTTAACTCTGATATCTCTCCACAGATGCTGCCAGACCTGCTGAGCTTTTTCCAGCAAATTTCTGTTTTTGTTTCTGATTTACAGCATCTGCAGTTCTTTCAGTTTTTAACTTGAGCAATTCCTTTCTGCACTAGTACTGCTGCCTGTGACTCACAAACTGAAGCTCTCATGCCAATCCTCAACAAGGAAGAATACTGCGGTGAACGGTAAAAGCATTTCAGACTAGATAAGATGCATGTTGCAACAGGAAAGTTAACAAGTCCTCAGGGAAGAAGAATATTATAGATTGCATTTGGTCTGTGGGAACAGTGCCAAGTCGGAGTTCAGTGGAATAATTATCAAAGGCTGCATGAGGGAGGTTCAAAATCCCTGATGACCCAGGGGAAACTTAAAAAAGCGCTGAAATCCAGGCTAGAAAAGCAAAAAGTTAAAAGCGTATTTACAATTAAAAACTTACTTGATCTGCCATCATATAATAAATTAGAATTAGAATTAGGTTTACTGTTGCATGTACTCACATGAGTGCAATGAAAAGTTTACAAAATTGCCATTTATGGTGCCATTTTAGGGGCAAGATCTTAGGAATAACTTAGAAAAACAAAGAAATAAAAAGCTCAGCATTGCAATTCTTTACACCATCTCAGGTACTAGGTAACTAGGTTCAAAATCTTAGGAATAAATTAGCAACATAAAGAAACAAGAAGTTTTGCATTACAATACTGCAAGCAGACTCTGCGCCAGGCCTCGCCACCAGTCCCCACCAGGAAACAAGGCAAAGTTTCAGAGACAGAAGCAAAGGACTCTGAATGATATATTAATCCAGATGGCAGAGTTGGGGGCATTGCAAAGTTGGTAACTAATAATGGTGGGCCTAAGCAGACCTGGTTTAACAGTTCCTCTGAAGGGTCACTGGACCCAAAATGTTGACTCTGTTTTCTCTCTCCATTGTTGCTGCCAGACCTGCTGAGTTTCTCCAGAATTCCCTGCTTTTGTTTCCAACAGGGATTGGGCGTTTGGGAAACTTTAAGCAGAAAAAAAAGGAGAACCTTCACTGAGAAAGGTGGGAAACATTTTTATTAAAATCATTTGGCGTGGGAATCCTTAAGCAAAGTTTTTCTATCCAAACCAGCATTAATGCAATGAAGCCAAGAACATTTCTAAACTTGGTAAACCATCTTACAGGTACAAATCCAAAACACCGCTGAGTTTTGTTTACCAATGATCTGGACTAAACATTTCCGTTGCCTGCAGTGAGTAAGATATTGGCAATGATAAAACTTATGTAAGCAAACCTTCCTTTTCACACAGTTTTGCCAATTGTGGAGAATTATAATTGATCTTCCTCTCATTAAAAAAAAATGATGTGGAGGTGCCGATGTTGAACAGGGGTGGACAAAGCCAGAAGCCATACGACGCCAGGTTATAGTCCAACAGATTTATTTGAAATCACAAGCTTTCGGAGCGCATCCCCTTCGTCAGGTGCAGTGAGAGAGAAGAGCGCACACACACAGTGAGTTTATAGGCACAGAGATCAAGGGCTGAGAGATCAAAAGATCATACAACTGGTGTAAGTGGAGTGTCAGATAATAAGTCTCTGCAGGCGACCAAGAGTGTCAGAGGATGAGTAAAGTGTCAACAGCTGAATAAACAGTGAAGGGATGGCCTAAAATCCGATTAAATGAGACAGAGAGTACAAAAAATTAAAAAATAAGGTGACGCTGGACACAAACCAAATGACTGGAATAACATGATATGTATAAGAGTCGCATGCTGAGGGTCTAACTAAAGTAATAAGTAATTCAAAACTGTACAAACTAATTAAGGTAGAGAGATCATAGCAATTTATCAATTTGATGGTGTCAAAACAGGACAGTCAGGAAGATTTTACAGATATAGAACAGTGCGGTGGGTTCACATGTAGCACGACATGAAACCAAGATCACAGGTGAGGCTGTCTACATGGGTATGGAAGTTGGTTATCAGTCTCTGCTTGGTGATTCTGCATTGTTGCTTAACTCAAAGTCTACCTTGGAGGACACTTGTCCAAAGATCAGAGGCTGAATGCCCTTGACCCCTGAAGTGTTCCTGTTTGGCAATTGTTCGGCGGTGTCCATTCATCTGTTTTTGCATGGTCTCGCCAATATACCATGCCTTGGGGCATCCTTGCCTGCAGCATATGATATAGACAACATTGGCCGAGTCACATCGCCGTGCACATAGTAGCTGGTGTTCCCACATGTGATGGTAGTGTCCATCCCGATGATCTGACATGTCTTGCAGAGGTTGCCATGAAGGGTTGTGTGGTGTTGTGGTCGATGTTGTCCTGAAGTCTGGGTAGTTTGTTGTGAACAATTGTCTGTTTAAGGTTTGGCAGTTGTTTGAAGGCAAGAAGTGGAAGCGTAGGGATGATCTTAGTGAGGTGTTCATCATCATCGAAGACATGTTGAAGGCTGCAAAGAATATGGTGTAGTCTCTCCGCTCCGGGGAAGTACTGGATGATGGAGAGTATCTATCGGTCATATCATGTGTCTGTCTTCTGAGGAGGTTATTGCTGTTTTTCGATGTGACACGTCAGAACTGGCGATCGATGAGTTGAGCATTGTATCCCGTTCTTATGAGAGTGTCCTTCAAAATCTTTAGTTGTCCATTGTGTTCCTCCTTAACTGAGCTGATCCTGTGTCTGTGTAGGGCTTGTCTGTAGGGGATGCCTTCTTTAATATGTTTAAGGTGGAAGCTAGCGAAGTGCAGCATCATGGGGTTATGTGTGCGCTTGTGGTAGAGTGAGGTACTGAGGTGTCTGTCCCTGATGGAGATGCATGTGTCCAAGAATGAGATTGATTCTAAAGAGTAGTCCATGGTAAGTCTGATGGTGGGATGAAACTTGTTGATATCACTATATAGTTGTTTCAGTGATTCCTCGTCATGAGTCCAAAGGAAATAAATGTCATCAATGTATCTGCTGTATAGCGTTGGTTGGATGTCATGTGCAGCAAAGAAGTCTTGTTCAAACTTGGACATGAAAATGTTGGCATACTGGGTTGCAAATTTGGTCCCCATGGCTGTTTTGTGTGTCAGGGTGAAGAACTGGTTATAAAAGATGAAGGTATTGTGCTATTGACATTGCCAGAGAGGTTCTCACACAGGGTCCCATTGTTTGATATGATGGGACAGCCAGGTGTGTTGGTTTTGTGTATATTTGGAAGACAGTAGAAGTCTCCTATGTGAGAAGTATGCGAGATGAGTGTGCATAGGACACTCTGAAGGTCTGGATCAAAAGTCTTGATCAGTGGGTTGAGTTGATGGAATGTTCTTTGGTTGGATCAGCAGGTAGTTGTCTGTAGTTCCTGTTGTTCAGATGTTGGTATTCTTCTTTGCAGTAGCCTGTTCTATCCTGTATGACGATGGCTCCTCCTTTGTCTGCTGGTTTGATGACAATCTTGCGATTGGTCTAGAGAGCATGAATGGCATTTCGTTGTGCTTGAGTGACGTACCTTGTGAGTGGCTCACCTGAAAAAAAAAATTTATATTAAGGTCCATCTGAAATTCATTCCCATTTTTAATCCCTTTTCATTACAGACTCTCAATCGATTGACGACAGTATGGGCAGAATGGGTACAGCACATAAGGAGACAACTTGAATAGTCATCTTGTCCCACTCCCTCACATTTTCTCCCTAGCCATGCACATTATTGCTGACCTTCATTGGCATTTGTCACAAGTCACGTGACACCAGGTTATAGCCCAACAGGTTTATTTGAAATCCACAAGCTTTTGGAGCGCTCCATCAAGAATGGACACCTTATCATTCTACAACAAACCCATGGATAATCTCACAATGCTGCACTTCTCTAGCTTCCAGCCGAAACATGTTAAAGGAACCGTCCCCCACAGCCAAGCCCTGCATATACACAGGATCTGATCGGATGAGGAGGAACATGATGGACATCTGAAGATGCTGAAAGATGCCCTTATAAGAACAGGATACAATGCTCAACTCATTGATTGCCAGTTCCAACTTGCCACAGCGAGAAACCACAATGACCTCCTCACAAGACAGACACAGGATGCAACCTATCCTTGTTTGTCTATCTTTGTTAAGGAGGTCAAAAATGAAGCTGAGGTTTTCCTGCATGAAAGAGCTTGGAGTTTTATAACCCCAAAATTAAGAGAATGTTATAACAAGCACATTCTCTGGTACAGGGGAATGAGCTTACGAAAAAAGTGGCTGCAGTACAGACAGGAAAGTAAGGCAGTTATAGGTTACAGATTTTTTAAGAGTTGTTGATTGCAAGAATCAAAAGATGAACTGTTTAGCTTTTGTCTGTTTCCTTTGTGAAAACGAGACTGGAGATTACTTGGATTTCTCAGTGAATTATGCTTGTTGTTCCAAGGTGCTTTACATCTTTCTGAGCCTCAGTTGAAAGAGGCAGGCAAAGAGAATTTCTTCCAATCCTTGTTCACAAGTCCATTTTCCTCTGCTGTTGGGAAACAGGTAGTGATAAAGGTCCAGTTATCTTTTTATTGTTTCCCACAGCTAAATACTCCTCAGGCAGCCTGTCATTGCAGGACTCTTCCTTCCAGAATGGTGTAAATTGATTGGAAGATTCAGATTTGTGTTTCAGTGTCTTTTCATAAATGCTTTAATTTTTGTTCAGGCTGATCCTTGTTTACTGACTGGTTCATAAGATTGGCTTAACTTAGTCAGATGATCACAGCATGCACTTTTCACACTATATGCTGCCCATGAAAGTCTTAGGTAATAAAGTCAAATGATAGAAGTTGAGAATCAATCATCCATTTGTCAGCATAATCTTAACAATGGATGGAAAAACCTTATGGTTTCCTGAATGTGGAGCCTCCCAAACATTATTTATTTCATTAGCTTAGAGTCTGTCTGACCCCAGTTTGTGGGGGATGATCATAGCTTTTACTGCTGAGTGTAAGGAGAGACAGTGGTGATGAGTGGAGACTTTAGCTTCTATCTTGATGGGATTTGATGTGACTGAGGAATTTAACTCCTGAGTGCTGGAGAGTACAGCTTTAGCTGCTGAGCAGGTTGGGGACAGGATTGCAACAGCAATCAGATCTCAAAAATATGCCCATTAACCATGCCCACAAAATGCAAGATTTTTGAGTGGGCTTGCAGCCATTAGCACTCACACTGAAATCCATGTCAAAACACTGAAGGCTGAGAGCTCGACACCACCAAACTCTCACATTTCTATCTCAATGAAGGCTGTGACCCTGATGGGCACATCATCTGAAACATTGGTTTTCAGCCCAAGTTGAAAATATAGCCCACTGATTGAATTTCTTTCACCGATAGAGCCTTGGTGCTGTGTAGTAGAATGGGAGCTGTAACTCAATGTGGGTTCAAAGTATGCTCTAGTACAATGAACACCATCACTAGGCTCCAGATACCGATGGAAAACCGAAAGAACTGTGGATGCCGCAAGTCAGAAACAAAAATAGAAATTGCTGAAAAAGCTCAGCAGGTCTGGCAGCATCTGTGAAGAGATATCAGAGTTAGATAAGGAGTAGATAACGATCTGGATGGAATGGTAAACAGCTATCAATGATATCATCAGTGCTCCTTCCCTCTCTCACCCGGAATTGGAAAAGTTCATCGATTTTGCTTCCAATTTCCACCCCACCCTCATTTTCACCTGTTCTACCTCTGACTCCTCCTTTCCCTTCCTCGACATCTCTTTTTCCATTTCTGGGGATAGCCTAGCCACTAATATCCACTATAAACCCACTGATTCCCACAGCTACCTGGACTATACATCCTCGCACCCTACTTCCTGCAAAAAATCCATCCCATTCTCCCAGTTTCTCCCTCTCCACTGCATGTGTTCCGATGACCCCAACTTCAGCAAGGGAGTCTCCAAAATGTCCACCTTCTTTCTCAATTGAGGGTTCCACAGCACCATTGTCGACAGGGCCCTCAACCAGGTCCATCTCATCTCCCGCACTTCCCTCCGGGACACCCTGATCCACTTTTCCTTCACTCCCAACATTCCCCACAGTCCCACATTACCTTCCCCTGTAACCAGTGAAGGTGCAACACCTGCCCATTTACCTCCTCCCTCGTCAGTATCCAAGGTCCCAAACATACCTTCCAGGTGAAGCAGCACTTTACCTGCACTTCCCACAATCTAGTCTACTGCATTCGCTGCTCACAGTCTGGTCTCCTCTACATTGAGGAAGTGAAGCTTAGACTGGGTGACCGCTTCACAGAACACTTGCATTCTGTTCGCAAAAAAAAATCCTGAACTTCCAGTTGCCAGCCACTTTAACACACCACCTTGCTCCCTGGTCAACATCTCCATCTCTGCTTTGCTGCAGTGTTCCAGTGAAGCTCAATTCAAACTGGAAGAACAACACCTCAGTTTCCTCTTGAGGACCCTGCAGCCCTCCGAACTCAATAACGAGTTCAATAAACTTGCCCATGTCCTAGATCCCTACCCCACACACCATGCCTTGTTCTCACATAGTCTGCCATTACATGCAACCTATTGTTAGCCAAAACAGTCCCCATTAACAGCTATTCGCACTAGAGCCAGATTGTTATCACTCCTTTGTCTGTTTAACTGTTCTTCTCTCCCTTTGGGTTCCGTCCCCACCTATCATTTACTCCTTACCCCTCCCCCCCACACCCTATCTTCTGCATATAAACTGACATTCTCTATCTTTGTTCCAGTGACCGATGTCTACACATGTTGTTGGCACAATAATGAGGATTCTGTGATGATTCAAGTCAACCTGAAATATGGCCTGTAGATTGTAGCCAAAATCATTGACAGGCAACATGCCATGCAGTTGAAATATACAAACCACTAATTACTACCAACTGTCTCCAGGCATTACATTCTTCGTAATATGGGCTGAACACATGAAGACTCATAAAAAGTATCAAGCTTGTTCATATTTTTATATGAATTCTCCTCTTCCACTTATACAAACAAACAAGCTTGAAATTATATCTCAAATAGTGCTTTTGTTAAAACTAATCTGTCTGATAAGTGTCTAAATAAAGCATCATAGAAATATTTTGCCATTTCCCATTTGGTCCTTCAAGCCTGCTCTGCCATTCAATATGATCATGGTTGATGACCCAACTCAATCCCCTACTCCCACTTTATCCCCATACTATTTGATCCCTTTATCCCTAAGAACTATGTCTAACTCCTTGAAAACATTTAACGTTTTGGCCTCAACTGCTTTGTCTGGTAGAGAATTCCACAGGCTCACCACTCACTGGGCAGATTATTTTCTCCTCATCTCAGTTCTCCTCATCCCATGTCAAGGAGACATATATGTCCACTGTTTTCTATTGATTCCAATGGCTGTATTTATAATGGAAATCTGTTGTACTGCATTAGCTTCCTTCTACCAAACGTTATGCATCACCCAGCTCCTTGACAGAACAGCAGAGAATCCCTTTACACTCCACATGACTTACTTTTTAAATTGCTATCAGTTTCTCAATATAATTATTAATAATTATGAAAAAAGTGCCATCTAAAAATAAAGATAACTTCATGACTTTTAAATTGAAGACGGAACAATGCTGATTGAAATGATTACCCCAAGGCCTCTCATGTTACTTCATCGAAAGACTTCACTTCCTCTCAACTCTCCGTGCCCAATACTGCCTAATGTCATAAATAGCATTTCCATCTATGTAACATTGTATTATAAGATTGAAGTTAATTGTGAGTAAAAAGGCACTTTTGGCCTGTAATCATTGATGAATGTTTCCAAACTTTGACTGTCTTCAATTATTTACGTTTGGACTGTCAGGAATATTTCATTAATGTTTAGATATGTCAAATGCAAGACATTAAAATGCAAATAAATTCTTTCCATTGAGCTGCTGCTGTGTAATGCTGAGATGATAAAAGTCAGGTTTGCCAATTGTTTGAATCCAGCCAAACACTGAATACTGGTTGGGGACCCAATGTACTCATGTGAATTGTGTAGCAGAGAGCAAATAAGGTCTTGGTTAATTGTGAATCTATCAGGAAATTCTTTGCTGGCGCTAGAGATTGGTGGGATTAATCACGATGTTCTAGTGTATCCATTTGCTTGTAGATAGGCTGCAATTCTGCCAACAAAAGAGCATTAACAGAGTCATTGTATAGAGCTTCCTCTGATAAAATATAATTTCATTCCGTGAAAGAATCCCTACAGTATTTTATTCCCATTATTCATGTTCTAGATGACAAATAGATATGGATAATAAATGCCTTTGGGACCATTATCTGGTTAAAGCAAAGTGTACAGCATTGCTTGAGCAGTTCATCAGCTGTTCTTTGAATTAGACCAGAACATTGGCCTTCAGAATCCTACCCTGGAGACTATAACAGATTCTGATTACTGTTTGACTGAAAAAAATTCAATCAAAGGTCTCTTTGTGCACACAAACAGTTTTTCTTTAGTTCTTTCCTTACAGTTGAATGCTCAATCTCTTGTATTTTCTTGATTTCATATTTTTCTCCTGC